TTCATGTTGCTGTTTTGCTGTTGTGTGTCACTGAGTTAATTCTGACTCAGAGCTACCCCAGAGACAGAGTAAAGCTGCCTTCCAAGGGTTTCTCAGACTGCAATGGTCACTTAGTGGGTTGCCTATTGGTCACAATACGCAAAGTTACCCACAAGGTCAGTAATTCCGTCCCCCAGCTGCTCTGAGGGAGCGAGATGAGGCTTTCTGCTCTCATAGATTTACAATCTCAGACACCCATAGGGGCAGTTCTACCCTGTCCTGCGGGGTTGCTATGCATTGGAATCGACTTGATGACAGGGAGCTTGGGGTTGAGTTTGTCTTTGTAGGTGCGGACTGCTGTCTTTTCTCCCATGGAACAGCACGCACACACGTGCTTGTGTTTCAAATTGCCAAACTTTCAGTAATTTATCCATAATTGTTCTCTATTCCTGAAGAATTGAAGTTTTTTGCCATCACTCTTTGTCTCTTTCAGCAGGTTTTAACTTAGTCTGTTTTGACTGACGTTAATATAGCCACCCAGCTTTTCATTATTTACTGTATTTTATTTTCAACCCTCCAGTCTATTTTGAGCTGCAGTAGGTCTCCAAGAGACAGCATATAACTGGCTCATCTTTTCTTCTCTCTTCTGCCAATCTCTGCCCCGCCCCCCGTTTTTTTCCACCTGAACTCGGCCTTTTGATTGGCCAGCTCCAATTTAGATAGGTAACTCCTAAAGAAGAATTTGCCATTTTATTATTTGTGTTCTAGATATATGAAAGTTATTTCCTCCTTTGTATCTTTTAATACAACTTTTATCTTTAGCTGACATTTTTTGATGAACTAGTTTGATTCCCTTCTCATTTTCTTTTGTGAACATATAGTGTCTTTGTGGATGTTAAAGGGATTACATTTCCAATTCATGTCCAAAAGGTCAGTAATATACAAAAACTTTGTTCCTGTACCATTTACCTTTTATTGAACTATTGCCACAATTACATATTTCTACATTGTTTTTCCAAAAGGATGAATCTATAATCATTTGCCTTTTAAATTATCTAGGACATAACAAGTAGAGTGAAAACACAAAATTTCCTGAAACTTTCCTTTATACTCACCTACAAAATTACTACAGGAGATCGTTTAAAGAATTCATACACTTTCTAATTTTTCTCCATTCATTTTAACCTGAAGGACTCCCTTTCCTTTCTTGTAGTACAAGTCTTACAGCAACAAGTTCCATCATCGTTGCTTATCTAGGGATGGCTTAATTTTGCTATCAGTTTGAAGGACAGTTTTGCTGAATATAAAATTATTGGTTGGCATTTCCCCTATCTTTTAAAATATGTCATCCAATTATTCTAGCCTTTCATAGTTAATTTTTAACTTTTTATTGAGAATTGGGTGAAGGTTTATAGAGCAAATTAGTTTTTCATTCAAGGGTTCATAAACATTTTGTTTTAACTCATTTATTCCAATGTCCACAACATAACTTCATTTATGCCACTTCCTCCCTATGTTTTCTGCTTCCATTCCTCCTTCATTCCTAATCCTGAACTTTATCCTTGGGTATATGCTGCCCTTTTAATTTCAAGGGGTGGATTATTCTAAGGTGTGCATACCTCCCTAGCGTTAATGATTCCCATAGAGAGCTATCTATTGTTGGGTTGAAAACTGAGCCATGGGAATAGTTCATTTCTAGAGCTGCAGGATGACTGACAGCCATAACTAGGGGGTTGAACCAACCTCTGACTAAGCAGTAAGCCTGGTCTTTTAAAAATGATTTTGAATTCCGTTCCATCTTTTTTCTCCCCTTCTATCCAAGACCTTCTAATGGGACCCCTTTCAGAATCGTTGTTAGTAGGAGATGGACACTGTCTAATTCTTCTGGTTTCAGGGTCATGGACATTGATATTTGCAGGGTCCCTTAGTCCACTGGAATAATTGCTTCCATGTGGCTTCAATTTTCATCACTGTGTGGTAGTTACATAATCTGTTGTCAATTTGAGACCTAAGAGCGAAGACTTGGAGTTTAGCCTGTCAATCAGGTCGCAGCTTGATGATCTTATTTGGAGGTGCTCAGGATATAAATAGCACACTGGAAGCATGACACACGCTTACTCCCTGAGAGACACTCCTGTGGAGGAGACAATGGAGCGACACTAAAGCTCTGGAGCTGAAGGAGCCACATGGAGAACCCTGCCAACGCTCAGATGCTTCCACTGTCACTGGATCCACAAGACTTCCCACCCACTGCCCTGTGATCGTCCTGCATTCAGTATCATTGCATGTGCTTCGTGAGTCTGAAGAGGAATTTATAGATTGGTATCAGACATATGGGTTTGAAATATTGGACTTATGGACTTGATCTGGTCTGACTGGTATATTTTCTCAATATTCAACTGCTCTTGTATAAAAAGCTCTTTCTTATACACAGGAGTGTCTATGAATTTGTTTCTCAAATCAACCCAGACTAACACACACTAATCCAGGCAGGGAGTGATCAATCAAAAGTTGTACTTTAGATGGCACTCATGAGCTTTTAAGACCCAGTATCTACTTACCAAAGTAGGATGTAGAACATTTTCTTTGTGGGTAATGTTAATGTCAATTGGCATTGGTGTCCCCTGAGACTATGATCCTGAGGCCCTAGGCCCAGTGACTCATTCCCCTAGAGCAGTGGTTCTCAACCTGTGGGTCGCAATCCCTTTGGGGGTCAAACGACCTGGAAAGCACATATTTACGATGGTCTTAGGAACCAAGACACTGCTCTGTCTGCCTCCAGGTGGGTCTGCCCACATACAGATATGCCCACATACGAGTAACCTGGCATGAAGGTGGTTAGCCATGCTCCACCATGCTTCAAGACAAAATTTCATTTATTTGGAATTAGAAATAAGTATGTCCCAACTTATTATTTGTGTGATTAATCACTATGCTCTAATTATGTTCACTTTGTAACAATGAAAATATATCTGCATATCAGATGTTTACATTACGATTCAAAACAGCAGCAAAATTACAGTTATGAAGTAGCAATGAAAATAATTTTATCGTTGGGGTCACCACAACATGAGGAATTGTATTAAAGGGTAGTGGCATTGGGAAGGTTGAGAATCACTGTCCTAGAATATTTTGGCCTACATTGTTTCCGAGGGAAATCACTGTTTCTGAGGATCTCTTCTGTGTGACAATTTGCATCTCTCTTGCTGTTTTCAAGAATTACCTTACTTTAACTTTGGTTTTTGAGAGCTTGATTATAATGTGTCTTGGTGTGGTATTTTTGGGTTTATCCTACTTGGAAGTTCAGTGAATGTTTAGATTCCTATCTTTGGTTAAATTTGGAGCATTTTCTTCCAATATTTCTTTAAATACTCTTTGCCCAGTTCTCTCTCTCTTTTCCCATATGGGACTCCCATAATGCATATATGATTCACTTGATGTTCCACAAGATCTGTAAACTCTACGAGAAACTCTCCCTCGTCTCTCCTTCCAGCTTTCCTGAGAACCGATGATATGACTTCATTGCACTCTTTAGTCCTACAGACTAACACAAGTCCCAGTGTTAGGTCATTCACGGTCTGCCACCCCTCAGCCCTGGGTAAGCTCCTAGACATGCTAAACCAAAGTGTGCACCTCACTTCAGTCCTTCTGGCACTCCTCAGACAGGTGCAAACAGACACACACAGCAATTGGGGGACACAGTCTTATCTCTTCTCTCTAGATCTAGAGGTGCAGCTTCCTTCCTGGAAGGGCGGCTGCTATTTCTGACATCGCTTTTGAGTCAGAGAGTGAGTGCAGCACAGGAGGTAGAAAACCAATGCTCTGATACAATTTATACGTACTACTTCTCTTGATTCAGTTCAGTTGCTGTGGCCCTTTGGCTTCCTGAGTTCTGCCACTGTTGATTCAGCCACTCTCCCATCTGCCCCTTGATAGGAGCATTGGCACTGTTGTGTTTTATGCAGTGGGCTGCTAACCACAAGGTCAGCAGCTTAAACACTAGCTACTTCATGAAATAAAGGTGAGGTTTTCTGCTCCCATAAAGCGTTACAGTCTTGGAAAGTCACAGGAGCAGTTCTACCCAGTGCTACAGGATCATTATGAGTCAGAATTGACTCTATAGCAGTGAGTTTGGATTGCTTTGCATGCAGCTCCTTAGACCACTCTCTAGCTCCAGCTAGCCCCACTTTTCAGGCTAGAGTTAAATAAGAAAAAAAGTAAAGTTAACCAGAATATTAAGATTTTGTAATGAATTTGTATTAATAATGCTATTTCTTTGTATATTTATAGCCTTCTGCGATGCACGGCTATGAGGTTAGGTTTCTAAAGATAATGTATAAACTTTAAATATACTTACAAAAATAAATTTTCACTCTTGAACTTTGCAATTCTGTCTATCCTCATAAAATATTAGTTAGTGATAACCACAAAAGCATAGATATCTCATTGATCTTCAATTGTTCTTGCTATAGAGAACGTTCAACACTTTTGGGGGGAGAAATATTACAAACATAGAATTTAAATATACACACAATAAATTTGCTGTTGTCACGTGCCATTAAATTGATTTTCAGCTCATAGTGACTTAATGTGGCACGATGGAGCTGCCCCATATGGTTTTCATGCCTGTAATCTTTATGGGAGAAGACTGCCAAGTCTTTTCTTCCAGGGAGACACTGGGTGGAGTCCATCCAAAGCCTTTCAGATAGCAGTCAAGTGCCTAACCATTGTGCCACCAGGGTTACTTTATACATATGTAAATATAAAAGTCACTATATAGTCTTTAAAATGAAGCTGATAGAAAGAAAATGCTTTGAAAATGATGATGGCAACAAATGTACAGATGTGTTTGATACAATGGATGGATGGATTGTGATAAGAGTTGTACAAGCTTCCAATAAAAAGATTAAAATACAGACAATGGGAAAATGTCTCATTAGTCAAAATAGCATTAAAAAGGAATTTGTGTGCAAAAAAAAAAACAATTAAAAGCCATAAAGTAAGAACTTAGCATGTCTCACCCTACAGTTGAGCAGCGTATAGAGGATGTGGTCAGGTGTGGTCTGAGCTCTCCACTGCAAAACTTCTGAGAGAAACAGGAACTGAAAGCAAACACAGTTATTAGGTTCAAGGTACTGAAGTTTGAACTGGGATAATCTCAATATTTTTACCAACATTGTTTGCCTAAATGCTTTAAGTACATTAGGATGGTGTGCCTTTCCACCAAAACACCACAGATAAAGGAGGACTAAAATTCAACTAAAATCTTTGATAAATATGAAAACCTGACCTCAAAAGCCCACTATCATCCTGTTGGGTCTGACTCACAGCGACCCTCTAGCTTCCATATTATCAACAGAAAAAGCGAGCTCTTGTGATTGTTTTCCCCAGAGCCGGAATTCATCACACCTGATGGACAGACTCACCAGTTAAGTGGCTGGTGGTGCATTCCTGGTAAGAGAAGTTTTCTGAAGCCTGCCCAAGGATGGCAGAACTCCATTTCCTGTTTGACAGACAGGAGCAACCAATATAGAAAATTCTTTTCTGGCTTTTCCAGAAAGTGCACTGATGATTTTTGTGAGCCGCAGTGGGAGAATCAGTTCTAGTCTGATATCTTAAATTGAGCTCTCACATATTTTATAATGTGCCATCTTCCTAGAATTGTAATTCCCTAATATCACTAAATAGTATTGTAAACAGCCCAGATTATCTGTATTATACTGATTCAGTATATAGTAAAAAAGACAGCCCTAATATTTTTGTCATCTTGACTACAGAGCTAATGTCATGATAACATTTAAGCCAGTTTATTAATAGAGACAACTATGTTGTTGAGGAACATGAAGAAGTGCATCGAATTCACTTACAGCTATAGATCAATAATTGAGAAATATTTCTTTTGTTTTTCTCCTTTTTGAGCAATATTTCAAACCGTTGACTTTTGTCACCTTTTTTAATAGTTGTAAATACAGGATGGGACCACTTACGGTTAGTCTGGGTGTTCTCAAGTTCATATGCTAATAATGGAAACATTCGCCTACACATGACAGTGTGTACAATATTGTGGAAAGGGGCTTAGAAATTTCTTCTACTGCTCTTAATGTTGCTTTAAAAACATCTGGATCTCAAACCTGTGTTCTGAACACAAGTTTTATTGTTCTCTCCAAAGATCAAACAAGGGGCTGAGCTTCATACCATGGAAATGGTGAGGCAGTTTGGATTTGCAATCAGGATTGACAAGGACCAGGAGACAAGTGCTTCTAGGGAACACTGAACAGGATAAGGACACAGTTTCTTCATTTCTAATGCTAGCCATGGGACTATAATATGACATGCCCATTAGTGTGCTGCCGTGAATACTGTATACCTGAATAGACATATATTATCACTTAAATCATTAATGTTTCTTCCTGAATCAAGAGATCACGTATAAAGAAAAGAACAAGGGGGCTTCAAAAAGAACCCCTGGAAAAATTTCATTATCTTTTAATTCTATTTATCCATGAATTTTTGGAACCCCCTCGTCTATAATGAATTGACAGAGCTAAGAAAACCGGGGAGAACCATCACCCTGTAATAATACAGCATTCTCACTAGAGAGCAGTCTCAGCTGCTTACCTTCCGGGCCTGGTCGTTGTCTTCTATCTGACCGAGATCCCTGCCACTAGCTTGGGCAATTCTCTTCCCAGAGACCAGGTTCCCCACCATCACAGAGGCAGGACCAATTTCTGGAAGGAAAGTGTAGCATTCAGGTGAGGAAAATGAAACCGTAAGTCTAACTATCTTAAAAACACAACTTCCCAAAACACAAATTCCCTTAAGTGTGTACTTCACAAGATTTGAATCTTAGTAACTACAATTAGAACAGAGTTCTAACAAAGGAAACTGCTAAAATGATAGCCATGGCTAATAAAAACAGCCTCAACCAAGGGCTATCTGGTTGTGCTGCTATGGGGAACTATGGGTTAGCGATCCCAGGTGACACAGAACTCTCCCACAGAGTTTTCTTGACATTGTCTTTATGGAGGCAGATTCCCAGGCCTTTCTACCACAGAGCTGCTGGGTGGCTAGAAATGGCCAGCTTGAGTTGAAGAAAATTGTAAAACAAAACTCAAAATCATGCAAAAGCCCAGGTTTACTGTTGGATGGAGATGGATGGGACCCCAAAGTCCTTACCCTTCTCGCCTGAATCTGAACTTTGCTCCATGTTAGAATAATCATTTATGTAAGGGCAAATTCCTGCTCTGTAAATCTTTAACTAATTCACAATAATAAATTTTGAAAATGTTAAAAAAAAAAACCCAAAAAAACCAAAAACCCAAATGGCCAGCTTTGGGATAACAGTGAGTGCTCAACCACTCCACCATCAGGGCTCCTTAAGGGCTAACTAGAAACAGTATTTTCATCATATGTCCCATTCCCTGTTATTCTTCTAGGCCCACGGCCTTCATTTTCTACTTAGGGTGACCTCAGAGGATGTTAACAGATTTCACACTAGTGACTACCAAAAATAACAATAAAGACAAATCAGCTATTGAAAATGTTATGTGTTTTACTGCTCTGTGAAGACTTATGGATTATGCATGCTCTTGTTCCCTGGTGTTGTTCTACATCACGGACTGAGTGCTGTCAATAAACATGAAACACTGTACATTTTTGATAAGCAATGTTTGAGGTATATTCAGGGAGAAATACTACTGAAGAGATAAGAAAAGAAGCACTTATGCATATATACCATTGACTGAAAAGGGTTTCTGTCCCTGCTAGGCCCAGAGTAAATGGTGATAGGATAGACTAAAAAGATTAATATAAAATCAAAATTAGTTTTCATTCAGCTGCGATTCACTTAATTTGCAATGCTCTTTTCCCAGTTTATGAAAATATTTTGAAAGAGAAAGGAAGAGAGAATCTTTTCTGACAGTGTTTTGGGGGATTTTTTGTACAAAAGAAAGAATTTTCCAAAAGAACTACAGAAATGTTGGCTGCAAAAAATCACTAAGTGCCACCCTCCTCCCCATACCAGGCTCCTCAAAATAGCGTTACTTGTTCCTTTTTTTCCATTAGACACATGTATATAAATCAAGACACATATTTAATAGGAAAGGGATAGAAATTCCAGGAGAAACTCTCATTACGTGAGAGTATGAGTATGTGTGTATGGGGTAGGGGGTGCTGTTAAGGAAGCAAGGGAGGAAGAGTAAAAACATTATCAAATAAATCACAAGATAAAATAATAGATATAATGTTGACAATTTTCATTCTAAGCTCAATAAAAACAAGTTTGAAGATGGCAATGATCAAGTAAAATATTAATTAAAGTTTAGATGAAGATAAAGTTACATGTTTACAAATGAGGGGACAATGCATTACCCATTACACACAAAGAGCTACATGTCTGTAGTTGAAAAAATTTTGTTCATGTAGCATAAAAAAAAGACAAAGGTCTTTAAGATAAAAATTTAGGGCAATGGTGTTAATAAAACAAGATTTACAATGTGTGCTTTATAAAGTTAGCCATGACAACCATTCTAATAATCATCTTAAATAGAAACGTAATGATCATGCATAATGTAAGGTAGTTAAATGTCTACTGATGTTTAGTACACCGAACAAATGAAAGCAAGGCCACCCATTCTTTACAGCTAGACAGCTGTCCACAGAGACTAGTTCGGCATGAAATATTCATGTTCTCACAGCTATGTGGACAAACACAGGGTACTTCAAGTCAGGCCTGGCACTGGACTTGAGCAGCCAATGACACAGATTTCTGGGCCCCTGACTCTGGGTCCCTTTGGTTTTAGGACGTGTGGGAACCTTGACGATATTTTCTGTAAATGTACTCTATCACTCTAAATGGAAAACTCTTTTTTATGTTTGACATCTGTGAACCAACTACACCTTTTGCTTACTTCTTAATAAAATGGATATGAAAGAGGAATAGTTTTTCATATTTAACAGAACACGCAGGGATTTGGGTAACAGAATGCATGCTGAAGTGAATAGAGGCATCCAGTATCAGAGTATGGTTGAGTTCATGGTTTTTACATGGATCATTAAATGCCCTTGTACCCTATTAGTCATTAGCTTTCTATCTTTAGTATCTGCTGATAAAATATCTTATCATTCTCCTTGGCGATTCAGAGCTGGCTAGATGAAATGGCTGTGTTCAGAAGCCAACTTGGAAACCAGCCTAAACTTCTTATCTATAATGCTTTAAAGAGTTCAAACGGGGTAGGGAAAAGACTATTTTTCCAGGGACATCACGTCTTCACTGCGCCACTTTCTGTCTGCCCCTCTGTCACTGTGCCAAGTCTCCCGTGATGAAAAGTTGACTTATGCATGTGTTCTCTGAATGGCATCTCTGGGGTCTTCTCCTCACTCGGGCTCATGAACTTACTCTTTCAACTGAGCCTAGGAGACAAGCCATCCCTTGCCACACCCCATTAAAAATACTTTTCTACCCCCAAACTAATGATTTCCCTCCCTAATTCAAGTGAGGGGGGGCATACCCATCTCTCTTTAGTGCCGAAAACATTAAATGGAGATG